GAACGTTGGGAAACCAGGCAGCCCCTGGACAGGCAGGGTCTCCTGATCTCTTTTTTAAAAGAATTCTATTTACTTTTTTAAAATATGTTTTTATTGATTTCAGAGAGGGAGAGGGAGAGAGCGAGAAACATCAATGATGAGAGTGAATCATTGATCGGCTGCCTCCTGCACCCCCCACACTGGGGATCGAGCCCAGAGACCCAGGGTCAGGGTCACCTCGATCACAGCCCCTGTCCCTTCCCTGGGGCTCCAGATGGACAAACAGACCCAGTAAAGGTGCATTTCCCAGGCTTTTCTGCTGGGGTCGCCGACCCTCGGGGATGCTGGGCCTTCAGGCTACGGAGCAGGAGACTGGGATTCATGGGAGAGAGAGTTCAGGGTCCAGAGCAGGGACCCGGACAGGAGCCTCACCCCCAGGTCCTGGGGAGCAGGAGGCACGCCAGCCGCCCAGCAACCCCGACACCAAACCCCACTTTGGGAAAGGACACAGACTGTCCCCTCTTTGGGGTAAAGCGAGTGAGCTGAGGGTCCCTCCTCTACGGAGCCTGGGTTTGGGAGTCTTCCTCTATGTGGGTCAACTCCTGGCCCCGCTCCCTTCGCCTCGGGCTTTCGCCTCCACGCTGTTCCCATCGCCTATAAAACACAAGATGCAAGGCTACCTGGGGACTCGCTTATCAGCCTCCTGGGGGCACTCCCCACCCCTGACCCCCGCCTGCCAGGGTCCAGGCTCCTCCCAGGGGGGGCCCCCGCCAGGCCTGAGCAAGTCACCTTCCCAGGGTGACCCCTGGATGCGGGAGGCGGGGACTGTGACCAAAACCCCAAGCACTTGCCAAGTACGTGCATGAACGGATGAAGGAGGAGCGAGCACCTCTTGGAAACGCCTGAATATGAACCGGGCTTTCTTTTCATTTTATTCTTTAATGTATTTTTATTGATTTCAGAGAGGAAGGGAGAGGGAGAGAGAGAGAAACATCACTGATGAGAGAGAATCACTGATCGGCTGCCTCCTGCACGCCCCACACTGGGGATCGAGCCCGCAACCCGGGCATGTGCCCTGACCGGGAATCGAACCCTGACCTCCTGGTTCATAGGTCGACGCTCAACCGCTGAGCCACACCGGCCGGGCTGAACCGGCCTTTCGAAAGCAAACTGTGCTTGGAGCCGGAAGCCACCGGACCCCACACCCTACCCTACCCCCACCCAAACGGGATCTAATTTGTTCCAAGCAGCCAGGTGCCCACCGGGAGCTGCCTTTCGGGGTAAAGTCGCCAGATTCATCCAGGGCGCCTTTCCGTGGCTGAGGAGTTACAGCCTCCTCCCAAAGGGCCCCAAAGAGCCACTTTTCCCCCATTCCTCCCTCCAGGAAAACCAGGAGTCCCTCAGGACCAGTGCCCTTAGGGAGGCTCCCGGGCGCTCCCCACCCAGCCACCTGAGGGCACCCCATTCCTACGGAGACAAGGGTCCCCCGCGGCCTGCGGGCGCTCACCTCCTATCCACATAGGAACCGCCCCAACCACCACAGAACCCAGTGGGCGCAGAGCTCCCACAAGCAAAGGTGCAGCCCTTCTAGCAGAGGCTGATCGCCCACAGGGCATGGAAACGCGGTCTCCAAAGACAGCTGCCCCCGGGCGTGTAGGGACGCCCTCCAGCCCCCAGGGTGCCAGGCTGGGCCGGGGTAGGGGCCTCACTAACCACTCTTTCCTGTGGGCACCCCACACCTGGGTCAGGGCTGAGGCCAGGGCTCTCCCTGCCCCGCCAGCGAAGTCCGAAGTCCAAGGACAAGGCCCAGGTAGAGCTCACCCCCGGCCCCCCACGGAGGGCTTCCTAACGCCCCTGCCGGGTGGCGCCTCCTCTAATTAGCGGTGGCCTCGTTAATGCCAACTCGAGTTCCAGACAAAAAGAGGTCACGGAACTATCCAATTTACTCCCGCGAATTTCCAGGGGAACCGCTTTATTTCCAGTCGGTCTCTGAGGACCCCCAGGCCCGTGGCCACGGCTGCCGGCCGGAGGCCTCCAGTCCTGCGGCCTGAGCTCCCAGCTGGCCAG